ATGCCCCAACTATACAAAACAAATATTAATGGACATGAAAAACCAAATAAACAATAACACAATTGTAGTGGGGGACCTCAACACTCCTCTATCACAAATAGATAGATCATCTAGGAAAAAAATTAACAATGAAATTCTAGAACTGAACCAAGCTATTGAACAAATGGACTTAATAGATGTTTATAGATTGCTCCACCCCACAAAATAAGAATACAAATTCTTTTCAGCTGCACACGGGTCATTCTCCAAAATAGATCACATCCTAGCTTATAGGGAAAATCTAAGTAAATGTAAAAGAATTCAAGTTATCCCCTGTATATTATCAGACCATAGTGCAATAAAATCAGAGGACAATAACATAAGAAACTGGAAAACATCCACAAACACGTGGAAATTGAATAATGCTCTCCTGAACAATAAATGGGTCACAGAGGAAATTAAGAAGAAATTAGACAGTTTATACAAGTAAATGGAAATGCCAGTACAACATACATGAATCTGTGGGACACAATGAAAGCAGTTATATGTGGGAAATTCATAGCAGTGAATGCCCATATTAAGAAAACACAGAAAACTCAGTTAAATAACCTAATGTAGAACCCCAAGCTCCTAGAAAAAGAAAAGCATAAGAAACCCAAAGATCATGTAAGAAAGGAAATTATAAAGATCAGAGCAGAAATCAGTGCAATGGAGACTAAGAGAATGATACATAAAATCAATGAATCGAAGAGCTGGTTTGTTGAAAGAATAAATAAAATCGATAAAACTTTAGCCAACCTTATCAAAAAAAGGAAAGAAAAGGCTCATATCCATACACTTAATAGTGAAAAATGTGAAGCCACAACAGATTCTGCAGAAATTCAGAGGATCATCAGTAACAACTTTGAGAATCTGTACTCTAATAAAATGGAAAACACAAGAAATGGACAGATTCCTAGATACATAAAAATTGCCCAAGTTAAGTGACAAAGGTATAGAAATTCTAAACACCCCTAAAACAATGAGTGAGATTGAAAATGTAATAAAAAATTTATCAACGAAGAAAAGGCCAGGTCTTGATGGCTTCACTGCTGAATTCTACAAGATGTTTAAGGAAGAACTACCTCCATTACTCTTTAAAATTATCAAGGAAATTGAAAGGGAAGCAAGGCTTCCAAATTCATTCCTGGATGCAAGTGTTACTTTGATTCCAAAATCAGGGAAAGACCCAACACAAAAAGAGAACTACAGGCCAATCTTCATAATGAACATAGATGCAAAAATCCTCAACAAGATACTGGCAAACAGAATACAGAGGGTCATCAAGAAGATTATACACCCTGACCAAGTTGGATTTATCCCAGGGATGCAAGGATGGTTCAACATCCATAAATCAATAAATGTAATACACTATATTAACAGAGTCAAGGACAAAAATCATATGATCTTCTCAATAGGT